ATATAAAGTTTGAGAGAGGATTTCCATAAATTACCTAGGAGAGATTTAAACTTGAGGTTCTCCTGTTTCAACCTTCTAAAGTTCTGGGATTGTATGTGTGCCCCACTGTGCCTGGCTTCTCTCTGCTCTTTGCTGGTAACAGTCTACTCTTTTCATATCGCAGTTGTACCTCCCCTGAGTAGAAAAGAATAGGCTTGTACATTTCTAAGGTCAACAGGACTGACCTTTGTCCAGACTCATAGAGATGATCTCAGAGCCCTTGGAACATTGTCACTGAGCATTGAGTCTGTATGCCTGAGGTCTTGTCTTTGCCAGATAGTTTATATTAACGAGGTGATTTATGCAAATACTTGTTTTTGATCTGTGAGGTTTGAGTCATTCTGTATCAGTTTGACCTGTGGGGACTAAAGTCTGAGCAGCTGACATCAGTCATGTAGTCACTGCATGCCTATGACTGACCCCAAGCAGAAACCCTGTGATCAAAGCTTGTTAGCTTCAAGGTGTGGTGGCACATGCCTATAATCCTCTGATGAGGCTGAGGCTACAGGATTGCTGAGTTCAAACCCCATCTGAGCTACATAGGAAGACCCTTTCTCCAAAGAACAAAACAAAATGAAAACTTACTAGCTGCCTTGGTTAGCAACACTTTGCACGTGGAAGAACTGAGTATTGCCCATGTAACTCCAATAGCTGGGAACAACTGAAAGTTTTTTCTTCCAGATTTGTCCTTTGTGCCTTCTCTTTTTCTGACTTTAATCCATATTCTTTTGTTGTAATAAAATAAAACTGGAACAGCTTTTCTGAATCCTCTGAATCCTAGAAAGCTGTTGAACCTTGGGGTGATCTTGTTGACTGATGGATGCAGTGGTTTTTTGTTGTTGTTGTTGTTCTGGATTCATTTAACATCTCCATATTTGGGGGATGCTTTAATTTCAGTTGAATGTGTACATTAATTTTCCCTTTTTGTCTTCTGTTAATTTGAATTCTAAAAAATTTGCTTGGGATTATTAGGCTTTCTGAATCTGTAGATTTATGTCTTTTGTAAATTTGGAACTATTCCTAGCTATTGTTTTATTCTCTCTGTAATGCTAACTAGCACATGTTATGCTTCATTTGATCTTCCATATCCTTCAACTTTCTTCAATATTTTTCATTTGTTTGTCATATTGGGTAATTCCTTCAGTAGTTTCTTTTTCATCTGTATCTATTATGCTGTTAAGCTTTCCATTGATCTTTTAAGGTTTTGTTTTTGTGTGTGTGTGTGTGTGTGTGTGTGTGTGTGTGTGTGTGTGAAGGGCCTCACCACACAGCTTGGACTTGTAGTGATACTCCTGTTTTCTGCCTCCCTAGTGCTGGGATTGCAGGCATGTGCCACCACACCCAGACTCCACCCCAGGTTCAGCGTGCCCAGGGGCAGGGCTGGCATGGCATTCCATGCCAAGGATCGAACCCTGGCCCCTGCACTTACCTAAGTAAGCTCTTAGTCCACTGACCTATCTCGCTGGTCCTTCCATTGATTTTTTAATTTAAACTTTATTTCTTAAACATTTATGATTTCTTGATATTTGCTTTTAATTCCGAATAGATTTTTGGTAATTCTTTCATCATTGCTTACATTGCTATTTTACTACTGTGGCAGTTCCAGAGATTTAAATTCATTGTTTGATATGGTCTCCTATATAATAGCTCAGCTTCTCATGAGTTTTATTTATTTTTTTCAAAGTTTTATTGATAAACAGATAGCAATGAGACAGTTTCAAATCAAATCGGAAGTACAGTTTCAACAAAGTTTTATTTATTTTTGGTACTGAGAATTCATGTCCTTGCACTTGCCAGGCAGATGCTGTGCTGCTGAGCTATATTCCCAGCCTGATAGTTCCTTTATTGTTGTTAAAATGAAATTTAGGAGGAGGTGAAATATATCTCATCCTTCATTAGTTTTTGAACTGCTCCTCCCACTCAATGAGTCCCAACTCAGGGATAAAGTACCACCAGTTACCTCCTTCTATGTTGAAGTTTCTTTGCTCACCTCATGAGCTTTAAGTCTCACTTCAGATGCATCCAGAGTCCAGGGGACCCACTTTCCTCCTGTCTTCCTTATGTTGCTATATTCCATTGTCTTGATGGTAACTCTCAGCAAGGTTCTTTCTCTGTGGCTTACCACTGGGCCGTCTTTCAAAAAAATCTTCCTTCCTTTCTTTCTGAAACTATTATAAACTGAATATTGAAGAATGACTCTGACACTGACCCTGACCCCATACTTCAATCATTTGTATACTTGATCTTATTATTTGATAGGAATCCTGTAGGCCTAAATCGGGGATCCCATCCTCCTGAGAGATTTTACATATTTCTACTACAATAGATATGGATAGGAATGGTTGCTTTCCCAGTGCCCGAATCTCAAGTTTAGCATCCCTTTCTTCCTGCTAGCCCACTTGCAGTGCCTTTGAGCATAACACTGTTAGGCTCACTAAGTATGTTGGCTGGCTAGGCTGGGTCTTGTGGCCACTGTGGAGTACCTAAGTATTACCATCTTTACCTTATCCATTAAGAAGGAAGTGGTGGAGTGGATAGATTCTCCCAAGTACTAGAAAAATGGAAAATGAACAGGAAAATAGGTATTTCCCACAAAGAATAATATGATTAAAATGAGGGAAACCTTTGATAAATGCATATCTCTACTTCTGAGGGTTTCTCCACCCCCTCTTCGGTACCAGGGATTGGACTCAGGACATTGTGCTTGCCAGGCAAGTGAGTATCCTACTGAGCTATCCCCTGGCCCCTCTACTTCTGAGTTCTAACAAGATATGTTACTTATGAAGATGAGGTATTTATATATTCTAGAGATTGCTTGCTTGATGGAAAATTATCAAAATTACCTGAGTAGAGAAATCAAGGAACTTAGTATTTGACTTAGAGTTAAATTTAAACTTATGGTTTAATTCAATAAAGCATGGAAACTTTCTCACTTGGAAATGCAAGGACGTTCAACTCTGCCATTACTTGTTCTTTATCCTTAAGTAAGTTATCCAGTCTTTCTGAACTGAGTTTATTCATTTGTAAGTAAGGATATTCTGCCTAGCTTGATTTTTTTGTGAATATTATATAAGCAAATATTTTAAAACCATGAGGGTGTGGAGTAAAATTTAATATGTGCTTGGTATTATTCATTATATCTATAAAAATATGGGGACTATTGCCTTTGAATGAAAACTGCATAAAAATGTAGTAATGGGGGAGTTATTACAGTGACTGCTTTTTTCCTTTTTAGTTTCCTTCTCACAGACCAGAAATCTGTTGTATTATTAAGGCATCACCAAGAACTAGACAAATGAAAAGTAAAGGTGTTACTGTAAAGAAAAAGATAGATTCTCCTCCTCAAGATGTTCCTCAAGGTACTCTAGTATGAATTCTGAACATACTTTTTGTATTATATAAAGATTTTCATTACAAATTGTTTATGTACACAGAAAAATATAATTATAAATTGTGTTTTGAGAATGTTTGTATAAAATTGACAGTAAAATTATGTCTTGTCAGCCTTGAAAACCTGAGTAAAATAATATTTTAAGGTCAAATATTGTACTTAATGTGTTGAAGAATTAGCTTATGACATTGACTTAAAATGTATTTATCTAGGATACTTCTTATACCAATTTGAAATTTTATGTTGTTTGGGTTTCATTTTTAGTCGTATTTGTTTTAATGACAAGGAAGATGGTTTTGTCTTCACCTAATATTTGTTGAGCACTTCTTCTGTGAAAGAGCCTGTGCAGCCACAGATTCAAAATCTCAATGTGTCTAGGAGATTTATTTCTGTGCTAGGACCAAGACCCCTTGACAGATGTTGAACTAATGCTGCCATCTCTTGGCTTTCTCCTAGGCTTTCACCTTTTAACAGCAGCTTGCTTAATTCCCTTTCAATCTGTGGCCACTTGTCTCACCCTTTCCTTTAGTAAAAATAGCAAAGCCTCAAGCTAACTTGTGATCCTGTTATTTTAAATATGCAACAGCCTATTTTTAGTCCTGGCATTTAAAGTTTTAGCTAGTTTGGCAGTAATCTAATCAGGACTACAGGGTGAAGCTCACTTTTGATGGTCTAGGACCCTGTTCAGAAGCTGATTTAAGCAAATATTGGTAGAAGTAATCTAAAAAAGATGTAACAGAGAAGGTGCATGGTAAGTAGGATATGAAAATGGTGACTGCTATAGAAGGGACTGTAGAAAACATTAAGCACAACATTACCTGGGAAGCTAGAATCTCTATAAAGAGGAAGCTATAATCTCTAAAATTCTGTTGAACTCTCAAAGTGATTTCAATGAGCACTAAAATTTGAGAATCATATATCTAGTCTATTTTGCTCATTCTTCAGATAACACAGTGACCTCATAAGGCTGATAAGTGATTTGCCCAAGTTTGTACAGCTAATTCCTGGCAGACTCAGACCTAGAACCAGTCATATAAAAACCCAGGGGAGGATACTTTAGCTTTCAGCTAGATGCATATGTGTCAGTATTAAGAAGTTTGAAGTTTTAGGTAAGAGAAGACAAATATGCGGATATATGACAGAGCGGATTGAAACCATTCTAATCAAGTATCTGAGAGGCGGTGGTAGCAATCACTTAGTAATAGGACATCCTAAGCCTGGCATATAAATTCCTTAAACTATACTAAGTTTAGCTTGATGCCTATAATAAACTGCTAAGTTTTTACTTCAAAGAATTGTTGTGAGGTCTGGAGATAATCTGTATAATGTATCAAGTATATAAAAGCTCATTATGTAATATATATTGAGTGGTCATTTTATTTGATAGTAAATTTGGCTATGCCATCTTATGTCATGTCTGACATAGACAAATTGATCTAATACAAATAGAGGTAAAGTTAGTTCCTGGGGGAACTTAAAACAAATTTATATCATGGAAGCCTTCTAAGCCTGTTGTTTTGTTTTGTATAGCTATCAAATGAAAAAATAAAACTCTATAGTTGGCTCATTCATTCAGCAAATATTAAGTCTAGATTTTATATGCTAGACCAACTGTTTGCTGATGACATTGAGATGACGACATAGGTGTTCACTTCAGAAAGCATAATTTCATATAGGAAAAAGAGTAAGTAAAGTCCAATGGAGGTATATGTGCTTCAACAGAGTTATATATCGGATTCAGTTGGAATAAACAGGGAAGGTAGAGAATCTACTGGAGGATGAGCTGAAGCCCACAGGGACGTTCTGAGCATATAGGCCTTCCAGGAAGAGGGACCAGCATAAAAGTATTGATCAGATCTCTGTGTTTCTAGAGAACACAGAAAGTTGAGCTTCTTTTATTATTTTTAAAAATATTTTCTGAGCTTGTTTCCTAAGGCTTGATGAGTAGAACTAGACTGGCATAGGGAACAAGCACTTTTGCCCTCAGGGGTTGGGTGAAATCCAATAGCAAGTATATGCTTGCTATTGTAATAGCAAGTATCTACTAGTAACTGTTAGATACTTGCTTCCATATGAAGTAATATATTATTGTATTTTTTCTCCAGATATTATAATAAAAACAAATGGCACAATATAACAGGCTGTGGCTGAAATTTTACTACTTTGAAGATATGAATATGAAGTCAATGTCTTTAATAGCATGTCTACATGAAATTATATGAAATCTCTACCAGAAATAATATGAAATTAAAAATTCAGAGTTCTCCTATTTCTTGTGATATTTTTCTGTGAAAATTCTGTTGAAATGTTTGTTATTTTTAATCAGTAAAGAAAATTCTTCCATATGCTTCTTATATACATGTACAGTGTTTGGATTGTAAAAGTAGAACAAAATAGATGATAATACAAGATTAAACATTAAATACAAGGAATTCTGTAACTTCCTTTGGTTGTTTTTTTTTCTTAAAGTCTGTCCTTTGTATGGATTCAGGGAGTAAAGCTGTTGAAGTGCTAAACATGAAAATGCTTATATTACAAGCTATTTTTAACAGAACTTAATTGAAACCACATGATTGAGAGACATGACCCAAGTCTGACTGAAACTCTATACTCAAGATTTGCTGATGCAAGGAATATATAATATGTACTGCCAGTCATAATTAAGTATTGAATATATTATCTTATCTCCAAATAACATTCTCTTGCCAATACTATCTGTAAGATTATTATTTTGGTAATTTGACTTATGGCATCTCAACAATACTCTTCTTAAAAACAGCAGTCCAGTTGTCAGTGAGCAGTCAGGTACAGTTAGTTGCCTATGGATAAGAATTTTAACTTTTACTAGGGCTATTACACACAAAAGTAACTATGCACCAAATTGTCTCTTTTTCTTTTTGGGATGGGGTCTCTTTATGGAGTTCAGGCTGGCCTTGAGCTCACTTTGTAGTCCAGGCTGGTCTGGAGCTCTCAATGATCTTCCTCCCTTAGCCTCCCAAGTGCTGGGATTACAGGTGTGTGCCACCATGCCCAGCTTTCAAATTTTCAAAGTAGCAGCAGTATTAAGGAAAATCATAAAATCTATGGAATAATTTGAGGTTAAGTAACCTATATAGTATATTATTTTTAGAAAGGAATCTTATGAAAATATTCTTGTAAATGGTTTGATAAGCTCTAAAGCCATTAACAAAGTTTACCTTGATATGATTTCATCTGAAGGTAAAATATGGAATAGTTGTGAGGAAATATAGAAGAGAACACTAATGGTAGAGGCCAAAACAAAATGTAGGCTTATATTCTAAATTAGTGAACTAAGTCAGCAACAGTGTTGTGGCTTTAAATGCAGAAATGTAGTAAGAGGAGGAGGAATAAGAAATGCAATAGGCAGCCTATCCTCTGCTTTCAAAGCATTTATAATTCAACGGGAGAAAATGAAAAGGAATTATTTGATAGTTTTAATGAAGTAGTAGGTTTCTTTGAGAAAAAATGATACTTGATTCTTGGGATTGGGACTAGTAGGAATAGAAGAAATAAAACACCTGATATTGTTGATAGGGATAATGTAATAAGCTCAGAGGTAAATATCTGACTGGGCTGATATAATTTAGAGCTAGGATTTGAAAGAAGACGGAGATCAGTATTTTGCTTTATAGACAGCAGTGCAGGAAGGGTCAGAGGAGGAAGGAGTTAGAATTGGCAATCCAGTTTTAGCAGTAGACTCATAACATAAATTGTGATTAAGAAGAAGGAAACTATCGGGGTTTTGTACGTAGCAGAGCAGCTCCCTTGCTGCGATCTATTGAAAGTCAGCCCTCTCTACACAAGGGTCTAAAAAAATTTAAAAAAAAAAAGGAAACTAAAAGAAGCCTATTGGCTGGCAGATGTGCAAATTCCCAAGAGATTCTTGTTGGTGAATCCTAGGAGAGGTAGTCTCAGTCTTAGACCTAAGCTCTTCAGGGAGATTCCCTAGAAGAGAATGAAAGGGAGTTCTGCAGAACTCCCAGGGAGTTCTCTTTCTGCAGAGAGGGTCTCCACAATTACACTACATTTTCCAAGTGATTTTAAAAAAGGTTAACAATGCACTTTGACCCCTTTGATTTAGTCTGTAACTAAACTTCATTTTTTCTTTTCTTTTCTATATTTAGTACAAGATCTACAGGGTCTCACTACGTAGATCAGACTCATAGTGCTCGTGGTGATTCTCCTGTTTTTTTCAGCCTTCCAAGTGCTGGGATTACAGGCATGTGCCACCATGTTGTCTCTATCACTGTCTCAGCATATGCCGCAGGCGGGACCAGCACAGCACACTGGGGATTGAACCCCAGCCACTGTGCTAAACTTCACTTTTAAGCATTTAAAATTATATTTTCAAATTATATCTCATAAAAAATAGTTTCAGATCTCCATTGTTTAAAATCCACTTAAAATGCATAAACAATATACTGTTATTTCCACTTTAAATTTTTTTAATTGGACTGGGTTTTTTTTTCACCTCTCTAAGATATAATCAATCAGAGTTTGCTCAATTATCAATATCCTTATCTCATATTGGGAACATAGCATTATGTGCTTACATAGACAGTATAAAAGATGTGAGGCCCACTTTCTAGATAAAGTTATCTTCAACTTCTCTTGTTCTAATCTTGGTTTCTATTCTGAATTTTAAATTAAAAAAATTTTACTCTTTATTTATTTGGTGCAGCGTCTCGCTATGCAGCTTGGACTCATAGTGATCCTCCTCATGTCTCAGCTTCAGCCTCAGATATTTTAAAATGTCTATCTTACATCTTAAAGCCTCCCTTGATTCCTTAGGTCCTTCTAGCTAACTCATTATTCTTAACCTGTTTACCCTGTTTCTACGAAGAGTGCTTTTTGCTTTGTCACTAACCTCCCAACTCACTCCATGCAAGTTTCAGCTTTTGTTCTCCATGACATTGTTTCCTCAAACCTATCAGGAACTTCCATGATGTTGATCTAAAGTGTATTTTTCAGTTCTCATCTTGGCAAATATCTTCCAGCTAATGATACTGCAGACTGGTTCACTACTTCCTTAATGAAAGCCTCCAGTAAAGAATGCCCCTTGAAACATTACTCCTCAGGATTTCATCTCTTATCAAGCATTCTCTCTTGAAGTTCTTCCAAAGGCTTCTTTTTATCTGCTCAGCTTTAAAGTTTGGGTACTTCCTGGAGCTGTGTTCCAAGGCTGCCTCGCTCCTACTTCCTGAGTGATCTCATCTGCCCACAGCTTTAATGGCCATCTCTGTGTAAGTGATCCTGAATCTTCGTCTAACTGCATGGATATTGGTAGTCAAATAGTAATTTCCTCTGTATCTCTCTATCACCTTAAATGGATTCAATCAATTAACATTCCAAATGCTGGTACAGTGATTGTTTTAAGGATAGGTCTGAGAGTAAAATGATCCTATTGGATTAAATATAGTACCAGAACTTTTTCTGGGAATAGTAGGATAGACTTTTTTCCTATTTTCTTGGAAGTAAAAGTTTTTGGCACAATTGCAGGCCCTGCCTAGGAATGGAATATATACAGAGATACTAGAGATGGTATGAAAGAAATTGAAATTTGGATCTGGAGTTGTGGCTTGGGGAAGAATATGTACTTAGCATGAACAAAAGCCTTAGGTTCAATCCATAGTGCCAAGGGAGGGAAAAAAGACATTGGATTTATTTTTGATTGTAGGGATTGAACCCAGGATCTTTTTACTGAGCTATATTTCTGTCCTTATATTTTTTGATACAGGATCTCACTAAATTTATCATACAAATCTTCCTGCTTCAGCCTCTCAGAGTTCTGTGATTACAGGAGAGCATTGCCAGCCCCAGCTAAAAAAGAAACTGAATTCTTGACACCATTCTGTACTCCCAAGTAAAGCTGTGTCTAAATTGTTCATACACTTTAGATCCAGTTGTGTGAACTAATTGATAGCATTTTTTGCTTCTCCTAGTTTTGTTTGGGTTTTCTATCATATATAACTCAGGTTACCCCAATGGACTTAATTCAACCAACATCTTTATAGTTTCTCACATCATAGCCTTTATCACAATGTACTGTAATTAGTTCCTTTTTTTCCACTCTAGACTGTAAGCTCCCTCAGTGTGGAAATGGTATCTTGTTCTCTATTGCACTTCCAGGTTCTTGCAGAGCTGATGGTTATTAAGCATATGGTAAGAAAAATATTTGCTGAAAGATTTATATCATTGAAGTGTGCCATTAGATAAAAGATCTTCTTTTGTACATTTCTAAAAGAATTCTAGATGAGTTAAAGATAATCTATTTTATGTTTATAGTAAAGCTTTGATTTTTTTAAAAAGAACTTAATAGAACCCACAATAACTTGTTTGTGACTTGTTGATTTCTTAAGGGCAGGTACTATATCTGTCTTGTTCATTATTGTTCCCTTTAGTATCTGAGAAATAGAGGTACTTAATTTCACCTTCCTTTTAGATTGTTTCTATTAATACATAAAGTTCTCTAATATCTCCCATCTTTTAAAAAGAAAGAAAACCATTTTTTCTTTTTATTTCCTCTTTATTCTCTTTTGAACCATTCCTGATATAATCTTTTCAGAAACATTCAGCGCATTTGACTCACTCTTCCTTTTGGGAGAGGTCTTCTTCAAATACAGTTTGTTCTCATTCTTTGTTGAGTCCTTCTCTTCTAGACCTATAAGTAATGTTCTCTTTGAGTCTTAGTCCTTCACTTTGGGCTCTGTATATTCAGTTTCTGTAAAACAATTCAACCATCCCATCATTTAAAATTCTATGAGCTGATGACTCTCAAACCTCTCTCTAATCCTGGCTTCACCTCATATATTCTACTTCAAATTGACACACGAGCATTTGATAGGCTCTTAAAAATAACGTACCCAAACTCAATATACTCAATTTTCTTCTTCAAACCCATATTTTCCCTGGTCCTCAATGTCTTACACTTAAATTGCTTGACAAAAATGAATCTTGATTTATTTTTCTTCCACTACTATTAGAATTTGTTAGGTACATCTCCAAAAAAATCTAGTTAGCCACTATCAGCCTTCCTCCCCTACAATACAAGTAACCACTTATTAGGTTTATCTGTTTTCATTCTTACATTTCTATAATTCCTTTCTGACAGAACAGCCACGGTAAAGTCATAAATTGGATCATGCCTTTTTCCTATTTTAAGTTAAAATCCCCTAGCAATTTTTGTCATTCTGAATCTTTGTTATATTGGCCTCTTTTTTTCTAAAAATTGGCCTCTTTTTTTTTCTCATCACACCTAAGCCATCTCCCTTTCCCAAGAGTATTCTCCAGGTTCTTTCACCTCTTTCTTTTCTTCAAACAGGCTGATCCCATTGCTGCCTCAAACTCTGTATAGTTTTTATCTGCCAGAAAATTCTTTACCACTTCTTTTTATGATTGGTTCTTTTCATTCTTTAATGAAAACCCCTTATTTTTGGAGAGGCCTTCACTTACCATCTTGTCTAAATTTGGCCTCCTTCAGTTGCTTGCTATCAACTATTTCTATCTAAGCTCCTGTTATAACTTCTGATATGCTGCATATTTTGTCTCTTCCCATTAAGAACTAAGTTCCTAAGAATAGGAACTCTTGAATTGCTCCAGGTGCCTAGAACAGTGGAGACCTAGGAAGCACTTAGGAAATATTGACAAAAACATAAGTCCATGTTTATGTTTTTGATACTTTAAATTATTGTCATTTCCTTATGTAGCAATAAATAATTGGGTTGATTTTTTAAAATGGCGGTACCCTCAGTCCACATGAGTACACTGTTCTGAGATGTTAATAAGATTTTGTTTCATGATAATTTAGCACAATTGTGGCAATATATTTAGCATGGTGGTTGAAGGAGGAAGACAGCCACCTTTTCCTGTATGAGTTAACCAGCAAACCGTTATAGTGAAGAGTGACTAGGTTTTTTGTTTTGAGCTAGATGATTCTAGAAGTAGGAGGACAGACATCATAGGTTTTTCAGGTTTAGGGAGACTGAGTTGTCTTTTTTTTTTTGAGGTACTAGGGACTGAGCTCCAATCTTGTGTGGCAGACACTTATGCTGCAGAGCTATCTCCCCAGCCCTCAAAACTGTTTTCTATTCTTGAATAGAAAATGAGAATGTAGACCCTTTTTCCTCCATTTCTAACTCAACAGTTTCACATTTATTTAACATAGCATTAGTGAGAAGATAACAATCATTGTTTTTGTTCCATCTCCTCCTTCCTGATTTCCTAAACTTAAAAGAGGCTGCTTATGAGACACCTCAGCTTCTGAGAAGTGGTAGTAATAAGTTAAAAAAAAATAGATACTGAACACAAAAAGTTATATCCTCTTTTATTATGAACTTTATTGATTCAGTGTTCTGATTCTATGATTTTAGTATTGTGCTATAGTAAAGGTGAAGTGATAAAATAAATTTAGTTTTTCCTGTACCTTTCAAGTATAAGACAGACTACAGAAATGAAGCTATTGCAGGATGGGAGAATACTAAAGTATTTCCTATGCAATATTTGTTCCCTTACTATTAATACCTATTATTACCCATGCAGTAATTTTTTCCCAGGATGAAAACACTCAAGGTTATTGTATTTGGAAACTTCCTTCTGAAGGGACCCGGAAAGCACTCTTCACTGGGCCATTAATGAAGGGATTTAAGTCCTTGTGCCTTTCCTTCTATATTTCTACTGGTACTAACTTAAAGTAATTTTCCAGTGTAAAAACAAAGCACAACTTCCCCAAAAGATTGACTCATTTACTGATAGGATGTACATATTTCATTTTTTTAAAAAAAACTTCATTTTTATGCAAGTTTTAAACTTTCATTCTATATTCAAACATTTTCTAAGAAAAATATACAACTCATCTTATCTTCTTAAAAGTCTTTTATTGTTTGACACTAGAGTCCAGAAAACTATCTTAAGTGTGTGGGTGGATATAGTCCTATCTGGAGCCTGTATTGCCCAGAGGATCTCTGAATATCTTCAATGGAAACACCTCAAATCTCACCTTCTCAGAAAGACCTTCTCTAGCCCTCTTGTACTACCTAATTTCGCAACACTAGTTACTATCTGCAATTACCTTATTTACCTTTTCCTCCCCTGTACATTTTTCACTTTGGATCCCCATTGTCCAGCGCTTTAACATTTGTGGATACATTCATTTCTTAATAATCCATTCTTAGTGCTTTTAAAACTCTTGTAACATTGGAACTCAACACATTCCCACTGACAAATTATCAGAGATGTCAATTCTGCTGGTCACTTTCCTTTTTCAGGGCCACTTAAGCCCTTGCAAATTAGAGTTGGAAACCATTTAACAGACAATTTCATTGTATTCGCAAAACATTTTTATCTAGCCCTTTCAAACATATACTAGTTATTTCCTGACATCTATATTTCATAGCGAATTGCATCCTCTGTGCAAAATTCTTTCGGAGTGGAAGACTAGGTCATAGGAGGTACTAAGCACTCTACCACTGAGCGATCTTAGGCCAGTGGTGGCGAACCTATGGCACGCGTGCCTCACCCTCTAATGGTTCGCACCTAAAGAAATAGCATGGTTAGATATGCATACACAGATAGATAGATGGATAGATAGATAGATAGATAGATAGATATTTTTTTTTAGATTTCCCTTGGTTCATTTGTAATTTTGTTGGTTACCAAGGAAACTGAGGCTAACTTCTGAGCTTCGGAATGCCAACTCTTCCCAGACTAATCTCTCGTGTCAGGGTTCAGGACGTTTGTGGTCAGTGCGCCTGGTATCCTCAACCAGGGCCCTCGACGGTGGCGGTGCTTCTGGAAGGGTCCGCTGCGCCGCCCAGCTGGGAGCCCAAACCTACTGCTTGGCCTGGGCACGGGCGCAAAAGTTCAGCCCTGGCCCAGCCCATGGAGGTGCGAGAAGTCGAGGGCGAGAGGCGGCTACCCGTGGTGTCCTCAGCACCTCCCGGCCGGGGGCACTTCACCGCACAGTCCCCAGTGCGCCCCTGAGCCACCCAGCCACCTCCCGGACGGCCGCGAACGCTAAGCTGGCCCTTAGCCACTCCGCCGTCTTCGCCCCTCGGCGCACGCCCCGCCCCGTGGGCAGCCGCGTGACGGGAGCCCCGCGTCAGCCTATGGGAGCTGGCTCCGCCCCCCGCCCCCGCCCCGCCCCGTCTCCGCGCCGCCACGTGATGCGGCTCACTGCCAGCCAATGAGCACCGGTCTAGGCCCGCGCCCCGCCCCGCGCGCCGTGGCCGTTTGAAGTGACTAATTTCTGTCATATGACTGAGGCGCCCATGGGGGTGGCGGGGAGGCTGTAGCGGGGGCCTGGCGAGAGCTTAGCAGAGCGACCCCGGCCTGGCCGTGGCCAGCATGGCCCCTACGCTCTTCCAGAAGCTTTTCAGCAAGAGGAGCGGGCTGGGCGCGCCCGGCCGAGACGCCCGAGACTCGGATTGCGCGTTCAGGTAGGGCGCTGCGGGGCTGGGGGCGCGGAGCTGTGGCCTTGTGGGCTCGGCGCTGGGCCTTTTTGGGGTCAGGCCCGGGAGGCAGCGGCGCGCGGGATCCCGGTCCTGGTCCGCGGTGGGTTGAGGTCGGCTGCGGACTCCGCGCCTGAGGCTGGGCGAGCCCGCGCGCCCCTCGCCGCCGCCGCGGCCCTTCTGGGTGGGTTTGTTTACGTGCCGCCCCAGCCACGCGCCGTCGGCCCCTGCGGACCCGCGGGGCCTCGAGGCGCTGGGCCCCCACGCCCTCCTGGCTGCGAGCACGCTGGGCGCGGGCCGGCTTGGACCTGAGCCGCGGCCGGAGGCCCGCGAAGTCCTCCCCTCCTCCCCGTGACCAGTCGCCCTCTGGCAGCGCCGTGCCAGCGCGGCTGGCGTGGTGGCAGGAGCGGCACGTTTGGCCAGCCTTGGGAGCTTAGGGAGGCCGCGCGGCCAGTCGGTAGAAGGCCGTTCTTTCTGGTTTCTTGGAAACAAAAATCGGAGCTGGGCACTTAGTTACCGGATAGAGCGACCTTTCTGTTCTCACAGGGGAAAGGTGAACCCCAAGAGGTGAGGGAAACTACTGACCAGATGAAATAGAACCAAATCGAATGAAATTTGGCGCTAGAATTAGACATACCCAGTTTCCCTTTACAATTGTTTCTTAAACAGTTGTTTAAAAATTGAAAACGATATCGAAATATTTTTGTGGTATTACAGGTCTTGTTAAATTTTGGTTGTAGTACCTGTTGCTGGTAGAATAACTTTTGAAATTGTACAATTTGGTATAAACTTGGATTCAAGGTAAAATACAGTCGTGCAGTTACATTTGGAGCAGCTCTGTCTCACAAAATGCCTTGGATACTTAACTGCAGTGTGGAAACTTGCAGTGTGGAAACTTGCAGGCCAAGTGTCAGCTATCACTCAATACTTGGATAGCAGAGAGCCCAGTTATACAATGGTAGTAGGAAAATGTGAGACTGTCAAATTCTGTAGCAGACAGAAGTGTGAAATGATTGTACTACACTGGTTTTAAAATTTTTTAAATGCTACGCATTAAAGCAGGCCATACCAGCAAAATTTTAGTAATGTGTACAGAATTGGAATATTAAACAGAATAAAATTTAGCTAACTTTTAGATGAAGAAAAGTTTCAGTTGTGAGCATTTTGACAAAGTGCTTACTAGTAAAAGACAGTTTTCTATTCCACTGGAAAGTAAGACTTGCCACACTCATCTGATATCTTTAAATATTGCTTTAGTGGTTTTCCTTTGAAAAACGAAAGTGTAGTTTAAGACTACACTGAGGTATCCAGTAACTGGAGACATTAGGGAAGCAGGTTCTCGAGATAAATCTAAAAGATGACATTTGAATAGGTAACTGATTCCTATGTCTGACCAAAGACAGAATTTGGGTACCCAGGTTTACAGAGGCCTTAAATTATTGAAAGTGACTTTGAAGTGAAAAAATTGGGTTTTTTCAAATGTAGTCTACTGTATAATTGTGTAATACTTTACTGTTTACCAAAGAACTTTCTCATCAGTTATCTCTTCTGATGTTTCACAACCACCTTCTGAGATAGAGAAAGTTGCAGTATAGATAACGATGTAATCCCTTCTTCCATGTGTAGGCCTATAACTACAGTGAATCATAGACACATTTGGTATAAAACTAAGACATGTTCGAAACTGGGCGTGGTGACGCAGGCCTGTAATCCCAGCCTTGGGGTGGGGGGCAAGGGTGGGTGAGGCAGGATCACAGGAGGATCAATGCGAGGTCCAGACCAGCCTGGAGGGATGGGGTGGCTACAAAAGTGAGTACAAGCCCAGACCAAACTGCATAGCGCGACCCTGTCAAAAAAAAAAAGACATGTACTACAGCATTACATGTGAGAAAAACTGATTAATATGACAAAGCGAGTGACTTGCAGATCTCATCAGTCCAAATCTTTTTTGTAGACTTCTTTGAGCTATAATTTAAATACAATAAAATAAAAGTAACACTTTAAGAGTGCAGTTCAGTGAGTTTTTTATATGTATGCAGTTGTATACCCACTGCTCCATTGAACACTTTTATCTATGAAGTTCATTCTACTTGTTTGCATTGTTTTCACCCAAGGAGTAACTGATCTACTTTCTTAAATACAGTTTCGAATTTTCTAGAATTTCTTAAAGGTGTAATACTACCATGTGTCTGGTTTATTTTAATCCATAATGGTGCTTTTTTTTCTGTGTTAGATGTATTAATAATTCTACCTGCCCTTTTATTGCTGTATACTATTCCATTCTTTGGGTATACTGCAATTTATTCATTCACCAGTTGGAGGACATTTAAAATATTTTCAGATTTGGGCTGTTACAAACAATTCTACCATAAACATTTCTGTACAACATATTGAGAAATAGATTTTCAGTCGCTTCTCATTTTTTTGTAAAGATCAAATGTAGAAATATTTTTTCATTTATTTTTGGTTGGCTATCTAGGAATAGGGTTATAGAGTCATATGATAAGTTTTTTTCTTTTTGGTATGGTACCAGGAATCAAACAAAGGACCTTGCTCTTGCCAGACAGACACTGTGCCACTGAGCTGTATCTCAGCACTACGTTTTGGGGGTTTTTTTGGGGGGGGGCAGTACCAGGGATCGAACTCAGGACCTTGAGCTTGCTAAGCTGGGAATTACGCCACTGAGCTATCTTCCTGGCAGTGTTAGGTTTTAACGTTTTTTTAAAAAAATTTAAACTTCCGTAAGATAGGTGTCCTGTTCTGTGTTGTTGTTCTTTTTTTTTTTTTTTTTTTTTTTTTGCGGAACCAGGGATTGAACTCAGGCCCTTGCGCTTGTCAGGGAAGCACTTACTCCACTGAGCCATCTCTCTGGCCCTATGTTCTGTGTTCTTAATAGCCTTGTATGAGGGTTATAGTTGCTTCACAATCTCTTCCATACTTTATTAGTTTCTTTTTAAGAAATACATTTTTATGGTAAGAAAACTGTACCATAACATTTACTCTTTTACTTACTTTGAATCTTTTGCTAGAGGGTAGAATGATACCACATTGGTGTTTTCATTTGTATTTTCTGAAGGTGATGTTCAGCATCTTTTTATGTAAGCCAGGTGTCTTGGTTACTTTTCTCTTTGCTGGGACAAAATATCTGACACCCAAAATTAAGAAAGGAAAGGTTTATTTAGCTCACAGTCTGTGGAGGTTTCAGTTCATACTCAGCTGGGTCCAAGGCAGAGCAGGGCACATGGCAGAGGGCAACAGTTCATGGCAGTGTGAAACAGCAAAACAACAAGGGAAAAAGGGAAGAGCAGCAGCAGAGGCAAGCCTCTCCTTTCCTTATATTATGTTCAGGCTATCTGGTAGCACTCAATCCCAGCATTTACACCCATAATCCCAGCATTGGATCATGAATTAATTACGAACTCCTGCCACTCCATCACTCTCAGGCTTTGGGGGGACAACTAGACACAAACCATAACACCAGATTTTTGAGTAGACTAAAGCATTGCTCTGTTTTGTCTTTTTGAGACAGGGTTTTGCTATACAGTTTAGGCTGGCCTCGAACTTACTTTGGAGCCCAGGCTGGCGGAACTCTCAGGGATTCCTGGGCCTCAGCCTCTGAGTGCTGGGTTTACAAGCATGCACCAGCACACCTGACCTAAAATGTAGTTTTTATTTTGTTGTACCATTTACTTTTTAGAGCCCCCTTGTTTTGTTTTGTTTTTGTTCTAGTCATCTTAAATTTACTTTGGCAACTAACTATAGTGTTCAGTCTCTGCCTAGAGAGACCTTTGCATAGGGTAACTAGTATACTAGGCCTGATGGTAATAAGCCTCAGTAGGCCTTTAATATAGGACATAATTTTGGTAAAGAAGCTATAGGAGTCTTTAAATGTTGTCTTTTATGGCTAGTCTATTGGAAAAGATGAAGAGATTTTCCCTTCAGTATTTACCTTATTACCCTTTCTGCTTAAGTTTTTTTAGATGAGTTTGAAGCGTAACATTGGTGGGATTTTTTTTATTCAGACACTTACAAAATTGACACATAATGTATGTTAATGTGAGAAAGAATGTGCTATCTAAGAGAAGATACTGCTTTATGTGTTCTCCATCAGGCCACTTTCTTCATTTCTTTTTTTTTTTTTTTTTAATTTATTTATTTAGTGTGTGTGTGTGTGTGTGTGTGTGGGGCCGGCTCAGCCCACCAGGGGGCGGGGCTGGCTGGCATGTGGTGCTGGGGGATTGAACCGCAGTCCCTGTGCTTTGCTGAGCTTGTTCTAAGTAGGTGCTTTAGACCACTGAGCCATCTCACCAGCCCTTTCTTCATTTCTTTTATTTGAACCTTCACATTAAACTGTATTCCCAGCCTTTTGTAATTTGAAGGGTCTCATCAAGTCAGTAAGTTGCCCTGAACCTGTGATCATGCTGCCTCAGCTTCCCAAAGTGCTGGGATTACATGTGTGCACCATCATAGCTGGTCCTTCTGCCAAGACTTTTGACTTTCTCCAAACCAGTCTCAACACTGAATACTTTAAGGACAACAGATTCTTAAAAAAAATCTAAAACTGTTCATAGTGGGAAATCAGTCTTCTGTAGAGTTGTAGATGGTGTGTATGATTTCATTTCATATTCTGGTGTGGATGGTATTTGCATGTGTAAGTTTGAGAAGCATTCTCATGTAATTAGTAAAGTTGGGGTGTCTGTGTGTGTCTTTGTCTTTTGGTCCTGAAATCAAACTTTTTGGTTTCCAAAACACTTCCAGCACTTCATTGCTGAATCCTCACCCATTGTTCTCTCGTGCCATCATGAATTCAGCAACAGTGCCTCTAGTCTTCCTTTCTCACATTACTTCACCTAAGTCTGTAGTCTACTTCATTTATAGTCTAGGATTTCCAGCTGAAGTCCCAATTCCTTGCTATTTTTGTATCACCACTGAATTTACTCATCATTATTCATGCCCTGATTAGCAAAGGCCTACATTCTGTCAGCTAC